TTTTCCATCGAGGAGGTGATCTATCACATCACCTCTTCCAGATTTCGAATTCATCAACAATGGCTTCCGACAATCTCACCGACAAAACAGCTGTCTTCAGGAAACTCAAATCAAAATCTGACAACAAGGTTCGGTTTTTGCAATTTTGTGCATTGAGAATCATGTGCTTGATCTTGTAATGTGTAGATCTGGGAGTTATTTGATTAGATCTTCGACTTTTGTTTTGTGTGTAGGTATGATTTGATTGCAGTGCGAAGAATCCGACATGGGCATCGGTTACATACGGGATCTTCCTCTGCATTGATTGTTCAGCTACTCATCGTAGTCTTGGTGTTCAAATCAGCTTCGTCAGGTCAGATTTGATGAGTTTTTGATTGCATCTGATAGGTTTAGTTCTTAAAAGTTGTAGGATTAGTCTGAAACATTACAAGATATGCATTGTTTATTGTAATGAAAATGATCCAGATGATTGGATAATTTCTTACATTAATTTAGGTCCACTTCAGCATCTGATTTGCGTTGTTCAATCTCACATTTGTAGTTTTTGATGGCATGTGATAGTTTTAGTTATGAGAATTGTAGCATTAGTTTTTGAACCACTTCAAGATCTGCATTGTTTATTGTAATGAGAATGATCCTAGTAAATTTATCCATTCATTATTACAATTTATTTGACCATTTGATGTCAATTTCAACATCTGATTTGTGTAATTCTATTTCACATTTCTAGCTTTTGATGACGTGGGATATGTTTTATTTCCGAAAATGTAGCATTAGGCTGAACAATTACAAGATCAGCATTGTTTCAGAATGTTTGCTTCAGTTTGTTGTAATGAGAATGATCCAGATGATTGGTCCGTTGATTATTATTTGGTTCTTTTGTCTATTTGGTTTGAATAACGCTACATTTCGTCTCAAGATGAAACTTTGTTCCTATTCTTTTTGTTGATGTATGTCTTAATCTGGTGTAGATTAGTAACAGTTCGTTGATTATGGCCTCTACAGTTTTGAGCTTTTTAATGGCATATTGATAAGTTTTGTTCTGAAAATAGTAGCTTTAGTTTGAACAATTACAAGATCAGAATTGTTTATTTTAATGAGAATTATTCAAATGATCCATCTATTGAGTATTATATAAGTTCTTTTGTCTTATTGGATTCAATAACGCCAGATGATACCTTTTTTCTTGTAGATCTACAAATTTGGACTCATGAAGCCCTGAGCAGCTCAGGACAATGATGTTTGGTGGGAACAACCGTGCTCAGATGTTCTTTAAGCAGCATAGATGGACTGATGGTGGCGAAATCGAGGCTAAGTACACTTCAAGAGCTACTGATTTGTATAGGCAGCTTCTTGCTAAAGAAGTTGCTAAAGCTATTTCTGAAGATACTGCTACTGGTCTACCTTCGTCTCCCCTCCTACTGTGAAGAATGAAGCTACTGGTGTCACTTCTTCACCTAAAGCTTCTAATACAGTCGTGGCTAGTACGTTTAAGAAACCTATTGGTGCTAGAAAGACTTGCAAAACTGGTGGTCTTGGTGCACGGAAGCATACTACTAAGGTAAGCCTCATCTTGTTTCTTGGAGCATTACAGTTTGAATTTTACGATCTGATTCTTGTTTGTTCTGGTGAAATGCTAGCCTACGGGGAATCTCTATGAGCAGAAACCAGAGGAAGTTGCACCGGTGATTCCAGCTGCAAAATCAACCAATAACGGTGGGAGAAAATCATCAGGTGGCTCATCATCATATGCCTCTCGGTTTGAGTACAATGACGACATTCAATCCAGAGGAAAAAGCATTGGTGGTACACAGGTACTTAACCATGTTGCCCCACCAAAGTCGTCTAGCTTCTTTTCTGATTGGAATGGACAGTTCTTTCCCCAAGAAATCAAGCTCCAACTCCTCAAAAGCTCAGGTAACTTCAATCATCTCTGAGAAAGAAAAAACTGTAAATCAGTTTTCTAACCCTCTTTTTCTTGGTTCTTTATAGGTTGAAGAATCGGATGAAGCAAGAAAGAAATTCACAAACGCAAAGTCCATTTCTTCTGCTCAGTACTTTGGTGATCAGAACAAGAATGCAGATCTTGAATCGAAAGCTACTCTTCAGAAGTTTTCAGTAAGAAACATCACTTTAGAAGAAGAAACTTTCTCTTCTCGTTCCTTGGATACTAATGTTCGTTGTGGGATGTTACAGGGCTCAGCATCTATCTCAAGCGCTGATTTTTTTGGTCACGGCCAAGATGATTCCAAACGACGATATAACTGCTAGTGATCTCATTAACCGACTTTCTTTCCAGGTAAAAAGGTTAATACTCATAGATCTCTGATTGTTGAGATCCTTTTTGATGAATGTGTTATTTCAAATGTGTTTTGTATCAGGCACAACAAGATATCTCGTATATAGTGAACATAGCAGGGGAAACAAAGAAGAAGCTTGGAACTTTGGCTTCTGGTATCTTCAGTGATCTTCAAGACATAGTGCTGTAAGAAGAAACATGTCTTTGCATGTTTTTTATTTTACAGTGGAGAAGAAGAAAGAAGTGTCTGGAAATTTCCAACGAAGTATACTCGTTTCTATGTTTTTGGAGAGCTTTTTTATTTTTTTTTGGAATTGAGACGGTTTTTGTGTTATATGGATCTTATTGGATCTCTGTTTGTTTAGAGATAAGAAAAGTGGACAAAAAACAATTTAATTGTTAAGATAATATCTGTTTTGAATGTTCAATCCTCAATAGGATTATATATGGTTCTGGAGGATTTGTATTTGTCATATGATATGTTCATGATTTTGCAGCATATAGTAACTAGATTTGTCAGACTTGTATGATTGTGCACATATAGTAAGTGAATATATTTGAACAAAAAAGGTAAGTATACATACAATGTCAAAAAAAAAGAGTAAGTGAATAACTAGAATATACATACAACTAGGTGTTTTGTCAGCACATGCAGACATAATTTTTGTACAATTTATTATTAGTATATATTTTATTAATTCAAACCAATATAATAAGTTATGATTTATGTTTTCAAATTAATTATAAAGGACAACACTCACATAACAAAATATTTTAAAAAATATATTTTTACAAATGTGTTGCTTTAATTTATTTTAATTATAATTTTTTCTATCTTAATTTTTTATTTCTATAATAAAAAATATATTTTCAAGATAACAATATAATACATAAAAAGTATCTTATTTTCTCAAAATATAATTTTTAATAAAAATTCATTTTATTTTATGATAAAATTTATATGAAATTATTAAAAATATGACAAATAATCAAAACTATCCAAATCATAGATAAATTACAAATCAGATAATTCGCTTAAGTTTTCTAATAGAAAATATATGTTCAAGATAACATTCTAATACATAAGAATTATCTTATTTTTAAAATCTAGTATTATTAGTATACATTCATTTTATTATTTAATAAATTATATATGAAATTATTAAAATATAATAAATAAGCAAAATATAACACCATTGAGAAGTTGATAAATCAGCATTTCTTTCTTTATATTTAACTATTAATATTTTAAATTAATTTTCGATTTTTATGATAAAAAATATATTTTAAAGATAACAATATAATACATAAAAATTATCTTATTTTCTAAAAGTATAATATTTTTTTAATAGAAATTTGTTTTATTATATAATAAATTATTCATAAAATTATTAAAAATCAAAAAAATAAGTAAAATTATAAAAATCATGGAGAAGTTACAGATCAATCAGTAAATTCACTTAAATTTTATAATAGAAAAATAGACTTTTAAGATAAAAATTTAATACAAAAAATTTAACATATTTTCGAAAATATAATATTATTAATATAAATTCATTTTTATTAAATACTCCCTCCGTTTCAGACTAAATGTCATTCTAGAGTAAAATTTTTGTTTCAAAATAAGTTTCGTTTTATAATTTCAATGCAAAATTTATTGATTTTAAAAGTCATTCTATTTTTTCATTGGTTGAAAAGTGGTTAGCTGTATAGGTAATTGTGTTTTTATTTTGAAAATATGTAAAATTAATTGTTTTCTTAATCTGTGTGCAAAAACCCAGAATGACAAATAAATTGAAACGGAGGGAGTAATAAATTGTATATGAAATTATTTAAATAAGGTAAATAAACAAATTTACCTAAAATCAAGAAGAAGTTGACAACTAATCAAATTTACTTCTTATATAATACTCCATCTGTTTCAGAATATATGTCATTCTAGACTTATTTTTTGTCACAAATTAAGTGTTGTTTTAGAGTTTCGAGGTAAAATTTATTAGTTTTATATAATATTTTATTTTTCTATTGGTTGAAAAGTGGTTAGGTGTATAGGTAATTGTGTTTTTATCTTGAAAATATGTAAAATTAAATATTTCTTTAATCTGTGTGCAAAAACTTAGAATGACAAATAAAATGAAACGGAGGGAATAGTATAGATCAGAGTCTGTTCCGAATTCCAAATCCTCAAAATTAGTGATAGATCATTAAGGTTGGTAGCAGTTAGTGCACATAAATTTGTTTTGTTATTTTGCAATTGACAATCAATCAAGAATACTTACATATCTTACCAATTTTTTGGGTTCAAATCATATCTCACCCTCGTTTTAAATATTTTGGTTCACTGAGCTACTATTACGTACATGTAAATATATTTTTCATATAAATTCATTATTACCAGTTAATTATTTAATTATTAACTTGGCTATAAAAGAGATAAAAATCCAAAGTTGACCACCGACCTTAAAGAAAACAAACCGTAAATAAGAAGCATCTGTATCAGATCAAAAACATCGTAGATTCTAAACCCTAACAATGGCTTCTCGATTTTCCCTCCCAATTCAAATCTTCCCGTAAACTCCAAATCCACCAACGATCTCTCGTCAGAAATCCATTTTCGCCTCCCCCCATTGATTCGCCGAGAGCGCTTCGACGAACGAAACCCTAATTTCGCAATCAAACTTAGGGATTTCACCTAACAACGATGCTAATCACTGATTCCGACTTACCTCCATCGCTTCCGTCGTTAACACCCACCCCGATCGAAACCCTAGACGAGTCGATTGGAGTCCATGCAGTTCAATCTTTGGCTCTTTCCTCCCCGCCAAATCGTGATCAGGTGGAGGAGATCTCAATTCCGCCTCCGTTAAACGAAACCCCTTCTCTGGTAAGTCTCGATCACGGCGAGTGCAGCGACGAACCTTTCCCGGACATTTGTTTGTCAGATAATTACAAACGATGGAGTCTTAATGTCTCGCCTGGGTACGATACTGATAACGAAGACGACTCTACAAGTTACTTGTGGAACCAACCTTTGTGTAGTTTCTTTCAAGAACCTCCCAGGATCCTCGACGAGCCATCCACCGTCGTATGTTTTCTTGAATTCGTTTCCCTTTTTTGTATATAATATGGTATGTGACATGGATTATTATTATTATTGTTATAGGGAGTTGGGCTATGGAATCTAGGCAACAGTTGTTTCGTTAACTCGGTGTTGCAATGTTTGACGCACACTGTTCCTCTTATCGATGGTCTTGTTTCTTACAAATCTCCAGATCCTTGTAGCTGTAAGGCTCTGAATCACAATGTGGCTTTTTTTTAGAGGTTGCCTTGTAATGATCCTTCTTTCCTTTTGAGTTTTGAAGGTGGCAATGAGTGGTTTTGTGTTAGAACGTCTCTTCGAAGTCACATTGAGGCTGCTCTGACGACTTCGACATGTTCAATTGCTCCCTATTACTTCCTCAACAATCTTAACTGTATCCTTTTATAGTCACTTACTCACCATAAATGTTTTATCTTTTTTCTCTTAGTATATTACTTAATTTTGGTTTATCCTTAAGCTACCACAGATTTTTCAGCTGACTTTAGGCGTTACCAGCAAGAAGACGCTCATGAGTTTCTACAAGCGTTTTTGGATAAGTTGGAGAGATGTTGTATCGACCCAAGTATTGTTGACTATGACTCTGTCTCTTCTCAAGATGGTAACATGGTTCAGCGTATCTTTGGTGGTCGTCTCCTCAGTGGGGTAAAGTTTAACTCTAACCATACATTTTGTCAAGCAATTTTCGGTATTTTGATTCCGGGAAACATTTATTTTCTTCTCTCAGCTTCGTTGCTGCAGCTGCAACTCTGTTTCTGAGACATTTGAAAACTCTCTTGGGTTGAGTTTAGAAATTGAAGATGTGGATAACCTTCAGAGTGCGCTGGATTCGTTTACCCGTGTGGAGAAACTTGATGAGCTAATGACTTGTGATAACTGTAAGGAAAAAGTTTCAAAGGAGAAACAACTCTTGCTCTCTAAGCTGCCACAGGTTGTCACGTTTCATCTGAAGAGATTCAAGAATAATGGGTTTTTTATGGAGAAGATATTCAATCATGTCGCGTTTCCATTGGAGATCGACTTGCAGCCATATATGTCCAGAAGCCAGAACAACGAAGTATGTTTAACTCTCTCTCTCTCTCTTAAGTCATGTATCTAAGACGGCACACTTTATTTGTTTCTTTCTTCAGGTTACTACAAAATATCGTCTTTATGCTTTTGTGGAGCATTTTGGGTCATTAGCGTACGGTCATTACTCTTCCTATGTTCGGTCAGCCCCAAAAATATGGCATCAATTTGATGACAAGCAGGTGATATATCTAGTCACTTTGGTTGATTCTTAAAATGGTTAAATAGGTGATTTTAATTAGTGAACATTCCCTTTGTTGCAGGTCACTAGAATTGATGAAGATAGAGTGTTATCACAAGATGCTTATATTCTTTTCTATGCAAGCGAAGGGACACGCTGGTTTTCTAACACCTCCGAAGAGGTGCATCCATCGGTTGAATCTAGCTTGCAAAATCCATCGCCAATCTCTGTCCTGGATCCTACCAGCGGGGAGTGTTCATCTGAAATCAGTTATGAGAATGCCTATAAATCCAACAAAGACTCAGCGGGAGTAACTGACCTTCTACATGTCAAACCAGAAGAAAAATATGTTTCCCTCTCCAACGAGTTTGACGATGATGTGTTGTTTCACTCGGCAGAGTCCAGTGGCGAGGATTCTCCCATGACAGAGCCTTTGGACCTTCATCACCCTGATGATGATAATTCTAACGATTCATGCATTGAGAAAGAAGTAGATTCTTGTTTAGACTTTGAAAGAGCTACCACTGGTGATGACTCTGTTCCTTATCTCATGGTTCAAGATCTAGACTCGTCTCAAAGACAACAGGGTGCCGTTCTTCAACTTAATTTTATGTTTTTCTTCGTATCATTGTTCAGCTTATGGAGTTAAAGTACTTACTTGGTCTTTGTGTGTGTGTGATGGTTCTGCAGAGGGAACGTTCCAAAGCCAACTTGATGAACGTTGCAAGCAGCCATTATTAGTAAGCCACGTTCCAGAGTCTAAGGAAACAGAAAATGTTCATAGAAGAGGCCTCATGAAGAAACCTTCACCTCGTGAAAGAGTGTTGGACCAAGGCATATCCACAACTGGTTCTCCGCCCAAGAAACTAAAAAAAGCATGAAAAAGTCCAGCATCTGGATTAACAGAGAGGTACATCTTGTGGACTTTCTTGATCGGTGATGACTTTGATTAGACTAAATCAGGTTTTAATTGGTTTCGGTTTTGTGCATAGTATGCAAGTTTTGGTATAAACTGTCAGAAGAAAACAAAAATCATTAACAGAATCTAAAGGGTTTTTAATAACTAAACCAAGTCCAGTCAAGCACCGAATATTGACAAAAAGTCATTTTTTGTCAAAAAAAAAAAAAAGGGATCACCTTTGTCAAAATGAAGATCGCTTGACCAAAAAATGACTTTTGAACGAGCTTTCACTGCATTAAGCAAAATAACAATTTTAGTTATTTTAGGAAAGGATTAGCAACTGGTTAGTGAAATGAGAGCCGACCAATTTGGTTCCAGTCACGTTGATCTGATGCAGAATCAACAGAAATAGAATTGAGTAAGCAAATGAAGTACATGTCGTTAAAATACCTGAACCTTATTGAACTATATATGATTATAGAAATGATTTTCTTTACTTGGTCTCTTGTCGAATGTCCTTGGATAAAATTAATTAAAATACTAGTCGTCGTCAGAGTTTACTCTTTCCTTTGGTTTATATATAGATAGATAGATTTTTGTTAATAACTGAAAAGAAAAGAAAATGCGTAGAAATTAAATAAAAAAAGGGAGTGGAGGATAATCAGCAGGCCCATCAAGGTCAGATATGGCGTGCCGTGTCCAAGTGCTTCCATTTTGACTAAAACTTTTCATTTTTTTCCCCTTTTCTCATCATTTGTAGTATTTTAGTTTTAAACGTAAGAAAAATCTGCAAGTAATGAAAAACTGAAAGCTTATCTCGTGTTTAAAGTTTTAAATGAAATTTTCTGCGGATTATCTCGTGTTTTAAATTATAATTTCCTTTCCTTTCACATGTACTATAATTTATCCCAGAGTTCCCATGACCGTATGTTGTAGTTATGCGTAATAAGAAATACTATAATGGAATAGATAAATATAATGAAAACGAGAAAGAACAGAAATAAAATGTGATCAACGAAAACAATTGGAATTCTAATTAAACACACACATACAAATTATCTATGAAAAGTAAGAAAGAACATAATGTGGATTGAGCCTTGCAAAATCTAGAAGTCAAGTGGCATCTTTTATCAAAGTCAATGAACAATAAAACGCAGAGAAGACTTGTGCATTCCTATTTAAATGACTGCACACATTTTTCAAAATTGTTACAAAGATATTGAATCATACTATTAATGATTTCAGTTTTGTATATGAATATATATCAAATATGCTCCAACTTTACTATTGAGAAAAACAATTTGGCATCTTCCTCCATCTACCATCATGTATGACTAATGACTAAAAAGCTGTTATAATCATATGACGTTTATACAATGCATATAATATGTTTCCTTTAATTTATTTCCTTGTCGTCACTCTTTTAGGTTATTATAATTATACATTATAGGTATGAGCTAGAGACACACTACATGATTCAATGATTTATCATCGGGCCAACAAATTGTATATCCGCATGAAACATAGAGGTCTAATTTAACAACGCAACGAGTTTAAACTTATAATAACATATCAAATTTAAAACTCAGTTCAAAAAACAAATGTGTCTAATTCATTATGTAAAATGAGAATATAAAAGCGTTCACCGAATTTCGAACTGGAATGTGATTTTAACGTTTAGGGAACATATTGGTTTATCAAAACTAATTGTGCTTTCATATCAGATTAGACATGACAGCAATTCAATAAAGTTTTTTGTTATACAAAACAAATTAAGTTATGTGTACAGCATACTTATGATTATTTATAACCAAAGGGCATGTGTTTAAAATGGAATTTCCTTTTCAAGTGATGCATATAGGACTAGTTAATACTGACTTTGCTATGCTTAATTACCTAATTAAATTGGAACAACCAAACTCAAGCACTAATAAAACAAAAGGGTGTGTTATGATATAATCACCCGACCTAAATTTCTGCATTAATTTCCACTTTATTAATTATTATATTAATAAACTTACAAACAAGTACAGATGGATTAGGTTATTATTGCTCGATTCATGAGCTTGTCTCCGCTTATTGCTCGCTTTAAAAGCTAAAACAATGGAATCTAATTATTGATATCATCTATTCTCTTAAATATTATATACACATATAAACCAATAGTAAGAACAAAGTAAAGTGCTGAGGTTCACACTTGTTCCAACTCATTCTTATGCATATGTGTATTAAAATTGAAATAATTTTTGGTATTGTTTAAAAGCATGGATAATATCGTAAATGAAAATTATTATTGGAAATATAGATAGTAGAGTAAGAGGGTGATTGGTTGAGATGTATCTTTAAAAAAATTACTACAGAATTTTGTCTATAGAAATTTTTGATGTAATTATAACAATTGTAGCTATAAAAATTAAATTAAAAATAATAAAATCAAAAGATATTTTTATAGCAATTTTTTTCTACAGTATATAAAATAATGCTTTATAAAACAAGGGTGCTAGAACCACTTTTAACTTTTTTGACTTTAGCTCTAAAAATTAGATAAAACATTATTGGTAACTTTTATGGTTGTAGATAAAAATTAATTTTAAAAGCATCTCCAAGAAGGAACCTTATTTTAAGGGTGGAGAATCTTCAAAATGAGGATTTGAGGGTGTGTTATTCCAAGAAGAAACCTCAAATCTATCTTAAAAATTTTATACTATTTATATTTTAGTTCCTAACGTTAATATAAACTAATGATACTCACTAAAATTTATATAGATAAATAATAGTACACTTTAAAAAATTAAACATAATATTTATAAATACAATTATATTAAAAAATATACATAACATAATAATAGAAAACACACATTAATTCATAAAAAAATAAAAAAAATAATTGCTCGCTAATGTTATTTTCATAATGTTCCCATATATGATCATTCAACCCAAAGTGTTCTATTTAAGTACTATTCTTTTATAATATCTTTTATTTTATTTTTTCATATTTATATATTTTGTTTTAATTATATATATAAGATTTGAATATTTCAGACAAATATATTTATAAAATATAGTTATAAGGAGTAAAGCGATAAGAAAATTAATACAAATACAATTATATGTAAGATATAAAATATAAGGACTAAACTGAAAAATGAATAGTGTTTTGAGGGCATGAACAGTGGACCCTCAAATTTGAGGTTTCACTATTCACGCCTTCAAAATTTAAATGTTTAAAGGTCTTTTGGAGAGTCAAAAACCTCAAAATTTGAGGGTTTGAGGACCTCTTGGAGATGCTCTAAAGTCATTAGTTACATCTTAACCTGTCACTCCCTAAGTATTTTCTTTTATTTACTCATTTAACCATTGCATTTACAGTAAATTAAGTATTTCTTTTCGTATTTATTTTATTTACATATTCTGACATTGAATTTAAAATCAATTTAAATTAATTAGCTACAAGGGTTGTTGTTTCTTTGTAATGAAAAATGAAAACACAAACTAAAATATATAATATATATTATGTAAAACTATTTTAAATACAATATTACCTTTTTAGTTTAGTTAAATATAAAATTTTTTGAGAGTTCAGTTTTTTAAGAAAAAATATCATAACATTAACAATAATTCATAAAAAAACTAATGTAAAAAAATTAAAATTTTGTAGTATGTTGTTTCCTTTTAAAATAAATTAACAAAAAAAATAAGGAATTTTTTTCCAAATTTGACTCAAAACTCAAAGTCAAGCATAAAGCTAACTTTTTTTTTTTACTTTTCTTTTTTTTCTATTCACCCCACATGTTCACATTATTTACGAAAATATCATTAACTTTTTTTTAAAATTGTTCTTTTATTCTTTCAACCTCATCATCTTCATGTATTTACAAGATTGTCATTGCCATCAATACCCTAACTACCATGAATAACCAATTCAAAGCTCTTAATGCACCTAAAATCGATTTACAATCTCTTTCTCAATTGTTATGAACTAAAAACAACATCTCTTTCACTTTGTCTCCATATTCATCCAAAAATCTCAAGCTATTGATTCAAACTTTTTTATGGTTGATAGAGCCATTCAAGCTTACTATTCTTTGTGGGTTACTTTCGTTTGAGGTTCTGAGTGGGTTGGAAAAGACAATGTGTGCTAAGGAGGTCATCTCACTAGTTTAAGGTATGAAATTGAAATTTTTAACAGATTTGTTCTCATAGAAGACTTACCCGTAACTCGTCTGGCTGTAGAAGACTTACGAATAAGTCTTCTGGTCAAACAGACGACTTAATTCTAAGTCGTCTAGCTTTGCTTGTTAAACAAAATCTAGAGAATACCATAAAGGACTTACCAATAAGTCGTCTATGATAAACATGTTAGTTTTGCATTTGATCGACTTGTGTCAGATATTTGACTTTTCGTGGACGATTTACCAGTAAGTCGTCTCTGAGAAAACAAATTTTTTAATATTTTATTAAAGCTAGATGACTTATCTTTAAGTCGTATAAGGTTAGTTTTGCAATTGGAAAATAAAACTTACATATTTTACTTCTCCCAGACGACTTACACGGAAGTCGTCCAGTCGGACAACTTACTTGAAAGTCTTCCCGGATAAGAAAAGTCGTCCAGATTTTTTTCCGAGATTCTGATCAAACCTTGCTTATCTCGGATGACTTTCTCGTAAGTCATCAAACTGGACAACTTTCAAGTAAGTCATCTAGGAAAAGTAAAATATTTAACTTTTATTTTCGAATTGCAAACTAACCTGAGATGACTTATAGATAAGTCGTCTAGATTTAATTAAATATTGAAATTTTTTTTTCTCATACACGACTTACTGGTAAGTCGTCCAAGAAAAGTCAAATATCTGACACTAGTCGGTTAAATGCAAAACTTAATGGTAAGTCGTCTAGGTTTTTTTTTAACAAACAAAGTTGGACGACTTACAAATAAGTCGTCCCATTGAAAAGTCAATTGCAAAAATGACCTGTTTGGACGACTTACTGGTAAGTCGTCCAAGTCTTCCAGACTACTTACTACTATGTCGTCGTCGTCAGAGTTTAGTAAACTTTCATTTTCTCTATGTTTACTAATGTGTTTTATTTTGAATTTTTGCAGATGATGCGTCAGTTACATGAAGTGTATGGAGAATGGTTGTTCAAAGATGGTTGTTGAGATTTTGTGGTTGATAATTTCAAAGGAGCGAGAATGTTTGTTTTGAGTGAAGGTTCGACACATGATGAACTTGTTTTAATGGTTCAAGAAGATTTTAACCTGGACATGAGCACATAATTTGTGGAGATAACCTACTCACTACCATCAGAAATGATTCAACAGGTGGATCCATACATCCCTCCTATTCATGTTACAAGTGATAGACAAGTTCGAAACTTGCTCGAGATAACCAAAACGCATGGAGTACGGCTTTGTTTATCAAGCCGTAAAAAGGTGGAAACAGTCTCAGAGGAAAGGGAAGAAGCTGATGAAGCTCATGAATATTTTGAAAATGATGATGATGATTTGGTTAAAGATGA